TTAAATATGGCAGCCTGTCTGTCTGACCGTCAAAAGTCACACATCAGGTGCACTTACTGTACAAAAGGCCCTATCAGGTGGCTGCTGGGGGACTGTTAGGAACAGTGACGTTCCTTTGTTTAGAGCCACTGCTGCATGTAGAGATGAGGCCACACAGGGTGGTTTATTTTTTTCTGTCAAATTTCTGACAATGAAGGTGTATCCAATTCCAAAATGTCTCATCGTCAACAATGACCATTAACAGTCTGCATATTTTAGCTGGCAAGCCATGGTCTGCTAGCCTGGCTGACGTGGTACACAGCAAGGGAGAGCTGACATGAGTCTGTTTGTTGGTGCCATATTCGTGCAGAAATTGGTGTGAGCTTTGATTGGTTCTCTCAAACCTTTATATTTCCTGTGGGGTTGAGACCTCTCCTTTGGATTTTGAAATCCTACAGTTGTATTGGAAGGGGGCGGCGCTCTGGGCCTGAGTGTGGCTGTCCATGTGGGTGTTTGAGTGAGAAAGACAGAGAACCAATCAATACAAAATCACTGCCCTTCATTATCAACGCATCGTGGTTACAGCATCAAGGAGTCCTGCCAGACTCTGAAGTCAGGAAGACTTTGAGTTTGGTGTCAGCCAGACTAATGGTCTGTATGATCGCTGAGTGGCTCTACTTCAGTTCATTTGTTATGTATCACCTATCTTGGCTAGATAGCTATATAAGTCTCAGACCAGACACATCCATAGGACCCCAGGGTCTTTAAGGGAAGCAAAGTCTTTGGACTGTGTAGTAAAGCTCTAATGTACTCACTGATTTTGATTTGCATATACATGCCCCTAGTAAATAATTCACGCAGTTTTGTCAGTAAATAACACATCGAGTTTTTTCAGCAGAATGCTCATTAGTGTACAACACAACACTGGCTATAATATCACCTGGGCTCTGATGAGTGAACAGCATTTGTTGTTTGTGTAAACATATGTGCGGCCTATTTACACCTGAGCAGTTTAATTATGAACGTACACCTCCAGAACCAGCTAATTCGCTTATTTATTTATTTTCTAGTGGAACATTCATTTTCCCTCATTGTGTGTGCAGCAGAATGCAATTAAACTATTGTGAATTGATAATCCTCTCATCCCAGACTCACCCCATGTAGTTCTGTGCAGTGGCATTACAGCGTTCTCTCAGTCAGCTAGAAGACTATTTATATGCTGCAATACTATTTTCAGTATTACTAAAATGTCCATGTCAATCCTTTCTCTCCCCTTTAACACATGGTCCATGTCCAGTATTTTCATAAAGTAATATTATGTTCTACACATGTTAAAGAACTAACAGAAATACACAACAAGCCTCAGGTAAGCATTTCACTGTAATGTCTGCACCTGTTGTATTCGGCGCATGTGACCAATAAAATTTGATTTGATTTGATTTGATTAATCTCCACAGAGTTCAGTTGACGTTTACATTGTTTTCCCACACAGAGGTCTCGACAAAACCACCCAACAATTTCCCTCTCTCTCCCTTCCCCTCATTCACAGATAAGATGAAGATGAGAGAGCGATAAAGGATGTGTTGTGCTGAATTAATAATGCCAGTCTGGCCTGACTGATCCAGGAAATGCACTGCCTCTTGCATACAACTAAGGAATAGCACCATCAGAAAATGTGTTTATTCTCCCTGGAGGTACTGTTGAATTCAGGGAAGTCTTCCAGAATAACTCTTTGATTTTGTAACATAGCGAGAAGCATCCATGCTGAGAGTTGAGTTCAGTTATCACAAGTTCTCTGATTCATCTCCGGAGTTGTTTTCCAATGTTAAAAAAACATTTGTCAAGTGCAATGTTTATGGTAAGCGGGATGAAAACGCCTTAAAAAAGTCTATCATGAATCTATTTTTCTCACATTGTGAGTGAACATTTTATTTCAGCACATTCACAATTTGTCTGTGTAAATGTGTGTGGGTACTTAGGTGGGGGGAAAAAGTATTTAGTCAGCCACCAATTGTGCAAGTTCTCCCAATTAAAAAGATGAGAGAGGCCTGTAATTTTCATCATAGGTACACGTCAACTATGACAGACAAAATGAGGAAAAAAAATCCAGAAAATCACATTGTAGGATTTTTAATGAATTTATTTGCAAATTATGGTGAAAAATAAGTATTTGGTCAATAACAAAAGTTTCTCAATACTTTGTTATATACCCTTTGTTGGCAATGACACATGTCAAACGTTTTCACACACTGTTGCTGGTATTTTGGCCCATTCCTCCATGCAGATCTCCTCTAGAGCAGTGATGTTTTGGGGCTGTCGCTGGGCAACACGGACTTTCAACTCCCTCCAAAGATTTTCTATGGGGTTGAGATCTGGAGACTGGCTAGGCCACTCCAGGACCTTGAAATGCTTCTTACGAAGCCACTCCTTCGTTGCCCGGGCGGTGTGTTTGGGATCATTGTCATGCTGAAAGACCCAGCCACTTTTCATCTTCAATGCCCTTGCTGATGGAAGGAGGTTTTCACTCAAAATCTCACGATACATGGCCCCATTCATTCTTTCCTTTACACGGATCAGTCGTCCTGGTCCCTTTGCAGAAAAACAGCCCCAAAACATGATGTTTCCACCCCCATGCTTCACAGTAGGTATGGTGTTCTTTGGATGCAACTCAGCATTCTTTGTCCTCCAAACACGACGAGTTGAGTTTTTACCAAAAAGTTATATTTTGGTTTCATCTGACCATATGACATTCTCCCAATCCTCTTCTGGATCATCCAAATGCACTCTAGCAAACTTCAGACGGGCCTGGACATGTACTGGCTTAAGCAGGGGGACACGTCTGGCACTGCAGGATTTGAGTTCCTGGCGGCGTAGTGTGTTACTGATGGTAGGCTTTGTTACTTTGATCCCAGCTCTCTGCAGGTCATTCACTAGGTCCCCCCGTGTGGTTCTGGTATTTTTGCTCACCGTTCTTGTGATCATTTTGACCCCACGGGGTGAGATCTTGCGTGGAGCCCCAGATCGAGGGAGATTATCAGTGGTCTTGTATGTCTTCCATTTCCTATTAATTGCTCCCACAGTTGATTTCTTCAAACCAAGCTGCTTACCTATTGCAGATTCAGTCTTCCCAGCCTGGTGTAGGTCTACAATTTTGTTTCTGGCCATAGTGGAGTTTGGAGTGTGACTGTTTGAGGTTGTGGACAGGTGTCTTTTATACTGATAACAAGTTCAAACAGGTGCCATTAATACAGGTAACGAGTGGAGGACAGAGGAGCCTCTTAAAGAAGAAGTTACAGGTCTGTGAGAGCCAGAAATCTTGCTTGTTTGTAGGTGACCAAATACTTATTTTCCACCATAATTTGCAAATAAATTCATTAAAAATCCTACAATGTGATTTTCTGGATTTTATTTTCTCAATTTGTCTGTCATAGTTGACGTGTACCTATGATGAAAATTACAGGCCTCTCTCATCTTTTTAAGTGGGAGAACTTGCACAATTGGTGGCTGACTGAATAATGTTTTTCCCCACTGTATAGCACAAGGCTGTTGGCTTTGAAAATATCTACTATGAAAATTCATAACATTCGCATGTTTGGTTTCACTAGGGGAAAGGTAGACATCAATAATGTAATCATACAATCTGAAGTGGAATAGAGTGACAGAAAATATGGTTTTCTCTTTACAAGCACAGTTACCTGCTCTCATATGAATATGCCACTCTGAAGTGTTAAGTGGGTTGTGGGCCTACAGTAGTTGTGAAACTTCCTTTCAGTTTCAGTCAGCCAAATTCAGCACTTCAACCGGTCCTCATTCACTTCCTCAAAGAGGTGAGGACAGCTGCCTGCTATTGTAACTCACTAAAGCGCTTTATTGACCTTGATCAGGTCTCCACAAGTGCTTTAAGCTGAGGTAAAAGACCAGATAACATCCAAGCCGCAATGATTCATTCCTGCTTCCCCTCCAGTAAAGCTGACAGCTATTCAATTCTGATATTGTAAAAACGTTAAGACCCTTAGCGAGCTCCAATAAAGCAGCTCCTCCATCAAGCATGACCGCTGGTTAATGAGCTCGACCATATACTATACTAGTGTGACACAGGACATGAACATGGTCATGTTGTGTTTACACAGTATGTGACTGAAAAATGGTTTGTTATTGTTGTTGTGTTCTGGTCATACAGCCCTGTAGGTGTGACACAGGAACATGTGTTAGGGAAAGTTAATTGGTCAATATAAGTTTCTCTCTGCTGACCCAATCAATGAGTAAACAGAACCAAGAGGGTCTAATAAACTCAGGCCTGGTACCAGAACCAATACATTGGCCGGTTAAATTGTTTTATGACAGTTTGATATTTTAGTATTGAGAAATGTATTATAGTGTGTTTAGGGTATAAGCTACATGTATGTATATTGCCTAAATGCAAAATGCATATAGACAAAAACCTAATATGCAACAAACATGAGAGCATCCTCCAATGCATTTACAAACAACATCCCCCGACCCTGCAGCAAATGCTAGTTTGTGCCTCGCACACATAGTGCAGGACGCTTTAAGTTATCACAATGTAGCCTAATCAATGATCATAATCTGTTGGATGAACCTCCTTAGTAAATCAGAAGAGGCGAGATTAACATGAATTCTGTTGTAATCTTCGTTAGGCTTTTTGTGGACCATATTCAAACGTTCTCTTCCACATCACATGATTCACATAGCGTGCTATTGTCAATCCTTGTTCTTCTCATTTAATAAAGAGGTTTATTGGACCTTCCTTAGAACGCCTTTGTTCTGTTTACTGATTGACTGGGTCAGTAGAGAGACAATGATCTTGAACATTCAACTACCCCATACACATAGGCCTATACACAGCAAAAATTGGAGTGTTGAAATGTCAGGGTTAAACATTTCCGAGTTAGTTTTTCACTCAGAGTGTAATTTTAACACATTCTGATTTAAATGGTGTTCAGTGTTGGAGTTGATCCGGTCAGTGTTAACCAACTCCGCAGAGTAATTAAGCTCCGCCCATGCATTTCACTTCTTCGGTTGGAGACAGAGGAGACAAGTCGGCGCCATTTTCTCCCTCCCATGCAGTACTACACGGTAAGTGCAATTAACTGAAACTTACTGAAACAATTATAAATTGATGCTGAGAATTTCAATATGAACAATGAAACATCTACAGAGAATATATGCCTAACAAAACCGTGTTTGTTGCCAGGACCGAGTAGCACATTTGTCCTGGTGATTAGCTAGCTAGAAGTGTATGGTAAGATAGCTAACAGTTTGTTACTTAAACCGTCTCCAACTTTATCAATGATGATTTAATAAAGGAAAAACAAAGCGTTATGGTTTTTTACTGTATAAAATCTTGTTTGAGACTGGAGCTAACGTCTTTTTTCCCCCCTTCACTTTGAACATCAAAGGGGCCGCAAAAAACATGTCCCAACATGCAGACGGTGTTTCACGTGTTTAGTTGTCTGTGTGACCAGCGTACCACTGTATTTGGTGACCCATCAGATTCTATGACCTGCAGTGTTTGAAAAAGTACTCAGATCATTTACTTAAGTAAAAGTATATAAGTATTACCAGTTAATTGTACTGAAATTACTAAGTTAAAGCTAAAGTACAAAATTAGCAGAAAATCGGGCTGTGACTGATATATTAAACATTTATTAAACATTTAAGTGCATCATTAAATACTGATGAGTGAATGCATAAGCAGCATTTTAATATCTCAGTCACAGCGTGATTTTCTGAAAATTAGTACTTTTTCCAACAGTGCAGGTCACAGAATCTGATGGGGTCACCAAAAATGGTGTAACACTGTCGACTTAGCTTTAATATTTACTGTTCTTCCTTTAAATGTTTATTTACTTTGTCAAACTTCCTTGCATGTCTCAGTCAAAATGCTGGTCCAGGTGAAGTACAGCCAACAGCAGAAATTTGTGAAGCTGGATGAGGATGAAGGACGGTTTGACTTAATGCAATTCCATGAAAACGGTTAGCATGTGTGGGAAATTATTCTCTTATATTTTAGATGTGCTGTTGGCTTAATAAGAAAGCATTAATGATTAAACATAATAGGTTTGTGCTGTACTGATATAAATTGTTTAACATAACAAGCTGTGATTCATGTGAGGAGCTGTTAGGGAGTAGGGGGAGATAAGAACTTGTGTCTCACATACACGAACACTGCCTCTTTGTTAAACCGCGCTCAAGGACGTGTACTGCAAAAAGTGCCGACTCTCTGGACAAGTTGTGATGATAACAACTTATGCCTTGCAACAGTGTGCTACAGTGAAGCGCCAAGGGGCTGGGACCAGCCTGTGCGCCAACGATAGGCTGAGTAAGTCTAAACCACACTCAGCCTCTACCCTGATAGGCCCAGCAAGGAGCGGGAACTATCACTGTCAGGGTATTTAAAGAAGAGCCTGTAACAATGGATCAGTTCTCTGTCTGCCCTGCGTGGTATTTCAGTGAGCCCGTATACGAACCTTCATACTTATCATATATACATTTGCATATAATACATTTAGTTTGAATTGAATACCTCTTGATCATGTTTTCTCTTATTCCAATACCAGATTTGAACTAACGCTATTTCTAACAATTGGTGACCTCCGACTGTGATCTGGTAGCGTAACTTCGCTGAAATTCATCCGGCCCATTGGACATCGCTGTCGTCAGACAGTTTGTTTCACAAAGTGCCCGGGCTTCTAAAAACAGGTAAGCAGACACCTATTGTTATGTAACTAAAGTTCTGCACATTGGCTTTATCCAAATTAATTTTGTGAAGCACCTGTTTGATGTAAGTAAACCCTATTATACCAACATAACGTGTACATTATACAACTTAAATTTCATAATATACTATGCAAATGTTTGATAATTGTGATGGTTAAACCCATGGGAATTGTAGGATTAGACAGTGCGACTGTCACAATCGTCGAAAGGATTGGACCAATGCGCAGCGTGGAATGCGAACATATTTAATTATTATATTCACCACACGAACGAAACAACAAAACGATACGTGAAGTCCTTGGTAACAAAACACAAACCATACACAGAACAAGATCCCACATTACACTGTGCCAAATAGGCTGCCTAAGTATGGTTCCTAATCAGAGACAACAAGCAACAGCTGATTCTCGTTGCCTCTGATTGAGAACCACCCCGGCCAACATAGATACACATGAACTAGATCCTAACATAGAAACACAAACACATAGAATCTACACACCCTTGCTCAACATATAAGAGTCCCAGAGCCAGGGCGTGACAGTACCCCCCCCCAAAGGCGCGGACTGCGACCACGCCAAACATAAACCGAACAGGGGAGGCGGATCCGGCTCCGGGCGTGACCACCACCCTCAAATAACCCCCCCGTAGTGCCCCTGGTCTGGTCTGGCCCCGCTGGCTGGAGCTGCACTGGACATCGGTGGAGCGGATTGCTTAGGCTCCGGTGTGGAGCAGCTGACCGGTACCTGACCAGGCACCGGTGAACCGGGCATGGGCTGTGCCGGACTGACGACGCGCACCCCTGGCTTGGTGCGGGGGAGCAGGAATGGGCAGGACCTGGCTAACGATGCGCACCACAGGCTTGGTGCGGGGAGCAGGAATGGGCCGGACCGGGCTGACGACGCGCACCTCTGGCTTGGTGCGGGGAGCAGGAACGGGCCGGGCCGGGCTGGCGACGCGCACCATAGGCTTGGTGCGGGGAGCAGGAACAGGCCGGGCCGGGCTGGCGACGCGCACCATTGGCTTGGTGCGGGGAGCAGGAACAGGCCGGGCCGGGCTGGCGACGCGCACCATAGGCTTGGTGCGAGGGGCAGGAACAGGCCGGACCGGGCTGGCGATGCGCATCACAGGCTTGGTGCGAGGGACAGGAACAGGCCGGACCGCACTGGGAACACACACCACTGGCCTTATACGGGGATCAGGAACGGGCCGGACCGGACTGGCAACACACTTCTCGCCGTGCCTCTACACTTTCCCTCCCTCTAATCACCAATGGCTCCCGTAACCCGGTGGCCTTCTCTCCTCGCCCACAAACTCGCCCCTTATCTGCCTCCAGCAGCCCCGTCGTCCATGCCATGTACCCCCCCTAAAAATGTATTGGGGTTGCCTCTCGCCTGTCCGACGACGACACTGTTGGCGCCGTACCTCCTCTCTCGCCAAGGCTTTAACCTTTGCCCATGGTCCTTTGCCCTCGAACATGTCCTCCCAAGACCACCATTGGCCCACCTGGGCCATCGCCAACCTCTCCTTCTCCTTACCCGGCGTTTGCTCTGAAACACGCTGCTTGGTCCAGTTTTGGTGGATCTTCTGTCATTATCGTCGAAAGGATTGGACCAATGCGCAGCGTGGAATGCGAACATACTTTATTATTATATTCACCACACGAACAAAACAATGCGTGAAGTCCTTGGTAACAAAACACAAACCATACACGGAACAAGATCCCACATTACACTGTGCCAAATAGGCTGCCTAAGTATGGTTCCCAATCAGAGACAACAAGCAACAGCTGATTCTCGTTGCCTCTGATTAAGAACCACCCCGGCCAACATAGATACACATGAACTAGATCCTAACATAGAAACACAAACACATAGAATCTACACACCCTGGCTCAACATATAAGAGTCCCAGAGCCAGGGCGTGACAGCGACACTATGACTGAGGTTCATAGGAGGTATTTTAAATAGTTAGACAGTGCGACGCTATGACTGAGGCTCATAGGAGGTACTTTAAATAGTTAGACAGTGCGACGCTATGACTGAGGCTCATAGGAGGTACTTTAAATAGTTAGACAGTGCGAAGCTATGACTGAGGCTCATAGGAGGTACTTTAAATAGATAGGCAGTGCGACGATATGGCACATATCAGTTCAGACTAGATATGACTAGGTTCATAGGAGGCACTTAAAATTATTTAAGAAAGGGGTGACGCTATTGACACATATCAGCAAAGGCTAGGTACGGCTAGGATCAGAGGGACACTTTAGAATATAGAGTGTATGCATGAGAGTGTGAATGATCCCAGTGTAATAAAAGAGTGTTTGCAGACGAAATAAAAGAGGGAATGCGGGTTACAAAAATTAATAAACCTGTATACCTTGATAGAAAACTAATTAGGAATTAAAGACGTCTGTGGCTGTCCAAACTGTTGGGTTTGTGGTTGCTTAAACCATATAACTCATTAATAACAATTGGGAACATAAAGGTAAAATAATGAATAACTAAACTGAAAAGTTTGAAATGATAAAATTGAACTGTAATGTTTGATGTTTGACATAGCATAATACTGGTTTTAAATAATTATGTTGAAGCAATTTGGTTTATTATTTGATTTAATGTTTGATGTTCGACATAGCATAATACTGGTTTTAAATAATTAAGTTGAAGCTATTTGGTTTATTATTTAATTTAACGGTTGATGTTTGACCCTGCAAAATACTGGTTAAATAATTAGACTGAAATAATTTGGTTTATCGTTGAAATATAAAGTAGAGAATATTTACATTTGCGGTCATTTAGCAGACGCTCTTGTCCAGAGCGACTTGCAGGAGCAATTGGGGTTGGGTGCCTTGCTCGAGGGCACATCGGCAGATTTTCGACTGGTCGACTCGGGGATTGGAACCGGCGACCTCTCGGTTGCTGGCACGGTGCTCTTGGTTACTGGGCTACCTGCCGCCCCATATGAGTTTAAGGTTGTGCCGTTGTTTGATCATGTGATGGGGTTTGATGGGTGATCGGCCCATGACTGGTGTGGTTATGGAAGTAATGTATAAACAGTGGAGAGCCAATAGGGGGCTCCATTGAACTATTATGTTTTGTTGGGCATTTCGGTGGCATGAGGTGAAGTCTGTGTGTATGAGTGAATTCAACGGCTGGTGTGGGTGGTGACCGGATGCTACTGAGTATTTGGTTTGGTGATGTTGAATGGACGATTTGTAGCGTGTTTTGGGGTTAAATAGAAAGACTCACTTATTCAATAGGGAATGGGTGAAGGGAGAGAGCATTACTTTGTGTTGCTGAATGAGGTGAGAGCTAGTGCGGCTTTCATTTGGTGACGTCACTTGCTCTATGAACTGGAAGTAGTTGCTTTAAGAGAATCGCAGATGGTGTGGAGTGACTGCCGATGTATGTAGAGGGTCCCGGGTTCGAACACATGTAGGGACAGTGGGTAAAGCTTTCGCATTGGGGCTATGGACCTAGATTGCTGCATGGATTGAGAGATGTGGAAGTGTTCTAGAAGGGTCTGAGGATGTGTTGCAGGGTCCCCGCGCCTTCCCCGTTGTGTAGGAAGGAGCAAGGGGAGGGGTGAGAGATAGTTCAAATGATAGGAATATCATTAAATGTATGCTTATCAACGATAGCAAGTATTTGTTTTATTAATTAGGGCCTAATCAGAGAGAACAGTTAAAGAAATTGAATAGCGAACTGAAATGGCGATAGAGCTGTGAAAATTATTTAAGTTGAGGACAAAGGAAAATAATTTATGATTCTAGTTCCCGGGTAAAAGGGTTGTACTTGCTTGACTAGATCGAGCAGAAGTTTTAATAGTTGAATGAAAAGCATTTATTTGAAGTCTAATGGTTATTACTTTATTCGATAGGTTGCTTGACGGCAGTGGTGTATGCAAATATTTGGTGAATTCTAGAACGATAATTTATTTTCGTTACGGGGACCAGGGGATGCAAGTGGCTTTGGCTGTTGTGCTAGATTTGTTAAATAAACAAACTTATATTTTAAACTAAAGTAATGCAATAGGCTACAATTATGACATTATCACAAAAAGGCACAATTTGATGTGAAATTGTTATTACAATTATTATTAATAGTTATTACAGTTATTATCATTGATCCAGTAATTATAGAAGGATAGTAGAGGAAAGGCAAGGGATTACATCTAATTTAGGGAAAGAAGAAGAGTATGAAGATATATTAGGGAGAAAATACCATTAACTGAGGGATATAAAACATTTAGCTGAAAAAGAAAACAGGAATAATTTACCTTACACCCTAATATAGACATTGCATTACTTTTGATGTAACCGTGATTGTATTGGCTAAAAAATGAAATATTACATTTACAGGGGGGACAGATTTTCCTAGGGGGTTGATCAAATAATTGATAATGGATCATTTGAGATGAGATCACATGTAGCAGATTTAGGGTAATCAATTAAATAATCATTGTATACTATAGGAATTTTGAGTGGTTTTATGGATTAGTTATGAGGAATTAGATTGATACAAACAATTATTGATGGGTTAGGACTGGGGATATCTGTATCATGTTTTGTGTGTACTACCATCTTTAGATTATAACCAGGAGAAAGAGATTAGCTCATCTCATTGGAATGTTGCCCAGGGCTACGGGGAGCAGTAGTGAAGTTAGGCAGTATTTAGGTCATAAAAGTGAGCTACCAAATCAAGTGAGGCCTGGCTATTTGTGGTTGTTGTTTTTCAAATTGGGTTTTTCAAACAAAAAACAACACACCTAGTATGATGTTTATAAAGCCTTGTTGTTTCAATTTTGGGGGGGTTTTCAGCAGGTCAAGGGTGATAGGTCTTGGAGGAGCACGCACAGTGAATTTTATGGAGTTTTCGGTTTTGGCTGAGTTTGGGGTCGTATATGATTTCTTATGAGAATGAATGTCATGAGGACTTAATGAACACTTGGGATAAGTAACATTTATGAAATATTTAGAATAATGGTAATGTTTAGTATACTATGGGATGGAACAGTTCGTTGAATAATTTCAATTTCCTCTGAACTCTGTTTTAACCTTCTGGTGTTAATTAATCATCCACACTGGTAAATTCTAAAGGCATGAGAGGAGGACTTTAAGATAGTTTATTTTACTAAGTTGAGGGTAATTTATAATACTGTGAAAAGTGTGAAGAAGATTATAATTTGGTAATAATATATATGATTTGAACCATTAAATAACAGAAGAGAGAGAGAGAGAGCTTTCCCTGAATGAGGGATACCTGTTGCTAGTCAATTGTACTTATCTTGGATTACTTTTACGGGATAGAAGTAAATTGAGGTATTATCAAATGTTGTCATTTAAATTTCATTTTTAGTATGCTTTAATAAACAACAAGTTGGTATTTGAAACTACATTAATGCAATGAGCTGCAGTAATCAGAGGAAGGCACAATCTAATGCGAAACAGCTATTATCTAGATCATTTATTTAGTAATGAGATCAGGAAGATAGGAGCAATAAAGAAGCAAGGGACAGTCTAAAAAAAATAAAAAAATAAGGGATGGCATTTGGATGATAAATTACCAATATTACCTAAGTGATTGTTTAGGTTGGTGGTAATATTGACACATGGGCAAATCATGTGTCAAAAAGGGGATGGTAGGATTAAATAATAAATATATACGAAGGAGAGGACAAAATACTTTAAAAAGAAATCAGAAATAGACATTGAGAGCTGAACATGTGTGAAGATAGTTTATTAACCACACCCGTATGTCAGAGGTTTTGTGCCCCATCACACGAACCATCACACTTATCATACATACATTTTGCATATAATAAATTACGCTTGGATTGAATATCTTGATTATGTTTTCTCTTATTCCAATACCAGATTTGAACTAACGCTATTTCTAACACTTGGCTTAGGAAAAAGGTTTTAAACCACACCCATGTTCTTTTAAAAGCTCATTGTGCAAGCTCCTTAATGTTGTCGATTCTGATTTCTTTACATGCCTTTATCAGACTCTTTTATACGGTAAATGGGGTTAAATTGCTAATCATTTTCAGTTCTGTAATGTGTGCTTCATAGAGTGTAAAGTATTAATATACACCAAAACAGTCAATAAAAAAAGCCAATCATCAATTTTTTAATTTGGACTTAAGAGGGAATGGGTTATGTGAGGGAAAATGCTCTAGGTCTATTTAAGGATTATACAGTGGTGGATGTATGTATTTAACGTGAACAGTTATTTGGCTGTGAGGCAAGAAACAGTGCTGACTTCAAAGGCACATTCATTTTGACCTTACTATCTTTTCCAGTCATTGAGAGATTTTGCCTGCCACCTGATGCAAAAGTTATATACAAGGATGCAACAGGGACAGAAGTTGATGCAGAAATATTCAGCGACCTCGTTGGACAAGGCAATGTGGTGCTGACAGGTATAATAAAGCACTTTACACCTTACATAATGTAATTATTTGCATTTTTTCTATTCCTTTATAATTCTCTGATTTCTCTATAACTATAATCCTAGATGATGTCCCTAGCAAGAGACAAAGAATTGAGGATACACGTGATGCTGTGTCTGCTGTGTCTGCTGAACAGGTTTCTTAATGCTTTCACATTTTTTCACTCTGAGTCTCTAGAAAAGCTATTTATCACCATGTTTTGTATTCTAATGTTTTTGTTTTTTATTAGTTGATTGAAGCTGTGCTAAGAGGCAAGTCTGGGGGTGAATAAGTACTACAGGAGTACCAAACAGAAACCCTAACAGATGCTGCATGAAGAAAAATGGTTAACATCCTGGTGGCTCACATGATTGACAATCATGGGTATGTTTGTTTCACATTGTTTTTATTTGTGCCAAATAACTGCATGGCCATTGCATAAATGTACTAATTTAATATCTCCTCTCAGGCACCGCCCCACTAAAGCAATCAGAGAAGATTATGCACGTGGGATAGTGATGTTTTTCCCTTCCCTCAAGGATCCATACTCCAAGAAGGGCTATGTAATAGGCATTATTATTGTTAACTCTTTCATGTCATGTTGTGACACAAAACTGTGTGGACGACATTGATATTTGAATTCCGTGAGATTTCTCATGAGCCTGGTATGACAACGCATTTCTTTTCTTTTTTTCATTTCAGGAACACTTATATGATGCTGCAAGCAGCACAGGATACATTTCTTGGCGTCTGAAAACAGTCCAGATGAAGATTCGTCGAGGATCTGCATTGCCACCAAATAGCCCAATTGACTTTTCTCCAGGGGGCCCAAATTTCCAAAGGACTGTTAATGTTGAAAGGCAGCTTGATGGTGATGCTTGCCAAGAGGCCATGTTTTTGCTCAACCATACCACAGACAATTCCCTGATTTTCCAGAAGATGAGAGAGACCTTTCAGCACCGTCAGAAGCTTGTTAATGACCCAGGCAGAAGTGTTGATATCCTCTCCAGCTTCCCAAGATTCCTGGATACAAAAGGATTGGTAAATTTGGGATGAGATGTTTAGAATGGCTTGACATTTGAAAGTATTTCCTGAAGTAGTAGTAGTAGTAGTAGTAGCTTAATATCTTCTTTCTTAAAGGTGGACCAAGACTTCACTCTCCTATTTGATGACGACACATCCTCCAGGCTTCTTCAGAAATGGGATTTGTTCTTCAAGCCACATGTCATAAAAGAGGCTAAGCGGCTCACATCAACACCAGAGTTGCGTCACTTGGTGCAGTCAGCAGAAAGTTCCCCAGGAAGTGATCTTGATGAGGCAACAAGTGAGTTGTTTTTATTTTTTTTATTTTAATAAATTTGCTATAATTGCAGTTAAACTATAACTGCAATAATATTTCATTTGTTTATTCTGTGTATCTCTGAATGTTGATCTGATTTTTGGGATAAATGTCACTAATAGATGGATGACGGTTTAAAACATTCTCATAATGCATCCCTGTTCTCATTCAAACTTGAAAAGTATTACATTTGAATAGTTTTCAGTTAATTCTTGTGACTCTTTGTCCTCAGCCTACGACCAAGAAATGGCTTCCCTGTTGTTGTTGTTACATCTCCTTCCACCACCTCTACGGGGACTGAAGTCTCCAAAAATTAGTGCATGTGATGCAGTTGAGAGACTTGTTGTCTTTCATAAGGTAATTATATTATTAAGGTGATTATAATAATTTGTCACGTCACCTTCTCAGCCACATATGTAAATGAGGGTTGTTAAAAAGTGGATGGAATTGTAAATAAGTCTTCATTCCCATCTTGCACTAGCCAATGAAAAGATGTTTGAATAATCACTTCTATAATGTAGTTTTCTTTGTGGCTGCACATTATTCTTGTGTCTAATTTTCAGTTTTCTGATCTCAACCCTAGTCATGCTGCAGTTTGGAGGAGCATCTCTGCAACCAGCAGGGTCGGCAGCCGTACCTCCTCGCTGTTGGGCGTCAGAAGAGCAAGATTGAGAGCTTCTACATCACAATGGATAAGCGTCTCATCCCATGCAAGGCAAACCACTCCCTCGGGGCATGTGATGAACTTTTCAAAGCACATTTTGTGTTTAATTTGTCTTACGATGTGGCACTTGTGAATTTTTACACATTCCTGCAGACAACAGTGTATAACATTGATGTGGGGAAAATGAAGGAGTCACCCAGAGTTAATGACTTGAGAGCGAGACTGCTTAACCAGCCAGTAGCACTCTCACCTAGTGAGTAAGAAGCTATAATAATGTTGACCTGTTTCATGTGTCAGAAATATTATCCCAGCAGTCAACAGTTGATTTCACATTTAAGAGTTGAACATGGTTACTATCCTGGACCCAAGTTCAAATTGTTTTGTTCTCAGCAAGGCTGTAGGCATCAGTTCCTAACATATACAGGTTTTCGGAAGCACCTTAATAGTGTTCATAGTAATGTTCAGCAAATTGCTCAAACTTCAACTGTTGCATGTTCATCTAGTGAGCCAGTTGCAACTTCATCTCAGGCACATGCTTTGGAGGACACTTTTAATCCACAAAATCAATGTAGCTCTTCCAGTGTTTATTCTGAGAGCAATGATTCAGGACTTACTAAAGATCCAACTAAAGAAATGTGTGCATCCATCGTGGCCAAATTACAGGGGAGTGGGATTTCCAACAGTTTGGTATCCTCAATTGTATGAGATTTGGAAGAACTAAGAAGTGAGATTCGCTCACAAGCAAAACATACAGCTATTTATGCTTTACCTATAACTGACCCCAACATATCTGTGATAAATGAATCTTTTGAAGATTATGAAAACCCGTTCACAAATCTAAATACAGAATGGAAACGAAATAAATACTTCCACCAAAAATGGGGAGTTGTCGAGCCAGTAGAAATAACACTGGGAGTGAGATATGACAACAGGCGAAATCAGAAATCCGGTACTTATGATCAAGTACCTGTGAAGGATACTTTTATATATGTGCCGATTTTAGAAACATTGAAGTTCATGTGCAGAAATCCAGACATTTGTGTTTTGCTAAAGAAAGAGTGTAGATCAGAGCCTGACACTTATACTGACTTTTTTGATGGAAGTTATTTTAAAACCCACCCTTTGTTTACAGCTAATAGAAATGCATAACAAATCCAACTATACTATGATGATTTTGAAACAGCCAATCCCCTTGGCTCCAAACGTGGAATTCACAAAATTGGCTCTCTTTATTTTGTTGAAAGAAACTTTCCCCAAAAATTTAATTCGGTTTTGATGAACATTAATTTGGTAACACTTTTTCACACACAAGATCTGCACAAGTATGGTTTTGATGTTATACTAGAACCGTTGATAAATGATTTGAAAAAACTAGAAAGCCAAGGGCTAAGTCTTCCATTTTCAGATGAGCAGGTATATGGTACAATCTGTCAGATCACTGGAGATAATCTAGGGATGCACACAATTCTTGGTTTTAATGAGTCATTCAGTAGCCGTCATTTCTGTCACCTTTGTTTGATTGAGAAGAATGATTGTCAAACGGTATACAGTGAGGATGATCCTAAGGTGATCCTTGTGGAAAAGATATGTTTGAAATGCATTGCCAGTCTCTCCAGGAAAACCCAAAATTGAAGTCACTTTATGGTTTGAAAAAAATAGTATTTCCATGTTTGTAATAACTATTCATTTTATATCATGCATGATCTTCTTGAGGGTGTGGTTCAGTATGAGATCGAATTGCTTTTTGGATATCTCACACAACACTTAATGTCAGAACAGGACTTGCTTTCCAGGATTTATGGTTTTGATTATGGATTTTTAGAATGAAAAAATCGTCCTACAAAGATTATTTTGGAGAGTGTTGGCATTGGTTTGAATTCTATTCAGACATTGTGTTTTGAGAAAAACATTCCACTGTTGTTTGGTGACATTATTCCTGCAGGAAACAAAAACTGGAATTTGTTACTGTTGTTACTTCAAATAATGAACATAGTTTTTTCACCTTCTCTCACTCTAGGTATGACAACCCTCAAACAAAATGAGTATGGGCCTATTAAATATTTTCTCTTCAGAGATGAGAATGTCGTCAACAATGAAATGCTTGAAACGATCTTGTCAAAAGATGTTTTCTCAACTAGTTGGGTTAAAGTTGATGGTGTAGAGTATAAAGCTGGACTAGTTATTTGCAGTGCAATGGAAGAAGACATGCCAGTCTTTTGTCAAATAAGTGATGTACTTTTGGTTGAAGATCAAATATTTTTTTTGACAAACAAGCTATTTACAGAGAATTTTGATGACCATCATCATGCATTCAGAGTATTACGAAGTGCGGAAAGATGTCTACTAAAAATGTCTGAGCTTAAATTTCATAAACAGTTTGATATTCAAAACTCATACAATGTTTCAGATGAAAGTATGTACATTATACCTTCATTCACAATGTTATAATTCAACTGACTGCAAGGGAGAAAAGGCACAAATATATGTTTTTGACAATGATTGTTTATTGTGATTAATTCTTATTAATATAAGTATATATTAAATTAATTAATAAATAATATTGAATAAATTAACAATAATTTAAAAAAAAAATATGTGTAGATAATTGACACTTTAGGGAGTGAAATTAACACTACACAAATAGTTGTAAAACATTAACTCGGAGCAGTGTTAGTTGTCTAATCCATTAGTGTTACTTTAACTTTTTTATTTTTAACTCGTTTTGCGAGTTAAAAAAGGAACTCTGGCAGAGTGTTAAATGTTTAACTATTTTGAAAGTCTTAATTTAACTCTGGAGAGTGTGGACCTATATAAACCCTCAAAAAGTGTTGAAATCAACTCTGTGGGAGTTAATTCAACACTGGACTTTTTGCTGTGTAGTCGTGTTGTTCTGGCCACACAGGGCTTGCTATGATAATGGCCAATCAGACAATAGCATCATATGTGGGATACTGTGAGTGTCATTGTCATACTCAAAGCAATATTGATGAACCATGAATGTCATGACTAATGATGATGATAAGATGTGAAGGGTAAAGATCAGCAGTGGCTGGTTCAATAGAGATGGGGTCTGTGTGCTTACCCAGGGCTTTGGAGCTACAGTACAATATGGACACTGGAGCAGGGGCTTTTGGGCTTAGGATAGACTGGGGAAAATAGAGAGAAAGCAAGAGAGAGAGAGAGAGAGAGAGAGAGAGAGAGAGAGAGAGAGAGAGAGAGAGAGAGAGAGAGAGAGAGAGAGAGAGAGAGAGAGAGAGAGAGAGAGAGAGAGAGAGAGAGAGAGAGTTGTGCCAGGACAAATCAAGGTTTGAAGCGGATTACAATTTGGTATCCTGGCCTCTCCAGGAACAAAAACAGTCCCCAGCAGCGTCCAAATCCTCCGTGCTGGCCCTGTGTGTCGCCACACTGCCATCCATGGCTGACTCCCCTTGCAGATGTAAGCATGAAACATCGCCTTACTTTGATCAAGGCTTCATCATGCATTACGAAACCCTGGCCATATCGCACTAAACCAGGGAGTGATTGGCCTATGCTTTAAATTATTTCATTATTCCCTGACACTCCAGTAGATGGCGCCAAAGCAGTGTCAGAGAGCAGAGCTAAACTGAGTGTGCTGCCAGGCAGATATCCCCCCAGATGGAGAGGAAGTGGATCTGATGAACAGGGTTTTCACCACCACTGAGGGGGTGATATTTGGATGAGTTGGTGGGAAGGGAGATATTGTGAAAATAGGATGGCTAAAGTCGTCCACCCCCCCCCCCCCCCCCCACA